GAAGGTTTTCAGCATCCTTGTGGCAAGTTCTGACTTAAATATCTATTATGAGTGTGTGGGAAGAGGAATAGAGGTACCAGGAAGTAAGATTCTAATTCCCAAGAGCAAGATGTATGAAGGCTGATCAATGAGGTCCAAGTTACATAGCACAGAGTGGAAGATGGTTGGGTAAAGTTTCTGGTGGAAAGTGACTAAAGGAGCAGAGTTTGCAAACAGGCCCAGCTTGCAAGGACAAAGATGCAGAGGCTGGTGGGAAGAAACACCTATGGGTACGATGAAAGTGGAGGAAGTTGCTGGGTACCAGTGGCTCACGCCTGTAATCCTAGCTACTCAGGAGGCTGAGATCTGAGGATCATGGTTCAAAGCCAGCCCAGGCAGGAAACTCCATGAGACTCATCTCCAAATAACCACCAGAAAACCAGAAGTGGCACTGTGGCTCAAGTGGTAGAGCCCTAGCCTTGAGCTGAAGAGCTGAGGGAAAGCGCCCAGGCCCAGAGTTCAAGCCCCACGACCAACAAAAAAAAAAAAGAAAGTAGAGGAAGTCTAAAAAATGGAGACAGCACCAGCTTTTGGAAGTGTTTCTCCTTCGTGAGAGACCAAGGGACAAACCCAACATGCAGGATGGACACTGTACTGCTGTGACTAACCCATGCATCACCTGCTTTGTACCTGTGCAAGCAACAGCAGCCAGTACCCAGGCCTGGCTTTCATGCACTGGTCGCCCTCGGCCTGTGAGCCACTGCCGCAGGATGGGTGCGCTGCCCCGGCGCTTGTTCAGCAAGGCCCTCTCCTGGGTGGCCTGGCTCTGCGGAGTGGACAGGACTCTCTTCTTCTTGAGAGCGTGCAGCTGTTCAAGGAGATGTGTGGGTATTAGTGCGGGTCCTGCCGCAGGACATTTTGCAGGCTCATTGGAGGCCTCAAAGCACTGAACAGAAAGATCCAGGACTTCTAAAGCCTGGGCTCAGCCTGGGTCCTCTGGGTGGTCATTTCTAGAGCTGAGGATAGGACTTCCCCTTCTACTTCAGTCCTCTAGTGCTGGCCACAGAGAGGAGCATAAGAGCCAACCTTCATTAGAAGCTGGATCCACTCTTCCTGAGCTTTCCCTGCCCTGAGTCCTTCCAGGTTGTCTGTCCTGGGTCTTAGATACCACTTATCCCAAGCTTTCTCTCCTTCACAGGCTAGCCTTGCCCCTCATCACCTCTTCAGAAGAGACCTCAGAGGCGCAAGAGGAAATAGAAAACACATTGCTCCACTGAGAGGGTTTTTTGGAACAAGGCAAAGCACCATATCACCTTAGGAACATTTTGACATAAAGAGAAATCTGTACGATCACTGCAGCAACAACAGCCGACTCCCACACCTCACTTTGGGTGAGCAAAGCTACGTGTACTCACCAAAACGCCCCACGCTTGGGCCACATGCATGGGCTGGTTCCACTTCTCCAGCTGCTCATCCACACCCTGCAAGCCAAGGCTGAGGTCCACGACATCGGTCTGGAACTGTAAGGACCGCACAGAGCCAATATGAAGGTCTGCAGGCCAGCCTCTCATTCCACAGCATAGTCTTCCTGTCCTCTCATCCTTCACTCAGAGTCTATGTGAGATCTAGCTTTCTTTCTCTGTCTGTCTCTTTGTGTCTTTCCCTCTCACTCACTGTGCACCCTAACCCCTGTGTATCAGTCCTTTGCCTGTTCTGTGGTCTGACTCTCTTGATAGGATAATCATGTGTAGTTTTGTTTTCATTGAGGAAGCTGCAGTGTGCCAGCATTGAGCCAGGTGTAGTGGGAACTGTGACAGCTCAGGCTTTGGAGTCCCCATCCCAGAACCCTGTTTAGGATTGAAGATGGTCACGTGATCCCTCGGATTTGAGATTGTAGCAACATGACCAGGTCTCTAGGAAGACAGCAGAGAAGCACAGAGGACACAGCCACAGATTTCCACTGCCTGTGAGGACAGAAGGAATCATTCAGAAGGTTGAAACAGAGGAGTATTCTGTGGCATAGAGGAGGGAAACTAAGAGTGAACTCTGAGCCATTTATGCTGTAGAGCTGGGTGATAGGTTAGCTCGAGGGAAGAGAAAGCAGTGGCTTGGATGTCAGGCCAGGGCATTGGATCTCTATCCTGTGGATAGTGGGGATTAACAGAGTTTGGATTAGCCACAGCTTTTTGAACAATGTAGGAGATGGTGTAATGTGGCCCAGAGGAAAAGAAGACTCCAGAGGGCTAAAATGGGATAAAGAGATGGCCTCATGACCAGGGGCTTCTGGGCCTGCCAGCTGTGTCTGGTCTGCGCATTGATAGGATAACTACTGTCCCTCCCCTCCCCCCAGAGGTCCCTATTACCTGGCCAAAGTTCCAGGGCTCTTCCTGGATGAAATCAGCTGTGCCCAGGTAGATGAGGCCATTCTGGTTCAACACATACTCAGAGCGTTGAGCCTCATTCTGCAGAAATACAGGGTCATCTGGCAAGAGAAGCAAGAGAAGATGAGGGTCTGGGGATGACAGGCCTGACCCTCTCCCCACTCCAGATAAGGTTTGGCTGAAGGCTAACCTTGTAGCTCTGGGCCTAACTTTTGAGGAGGAAGTATCTCTCAGGGAACTCAGTTCAGAGACTCTGGGTCCATCAGGGGGTGGCCTGAAAGGCCAAAAAGTTCCCAGAAGAGATCACAACCAGAGCACTGCTGCCCCAAGAGAAATGGGCAGCAGCCTCGGGAGCACCCCAGTGGCCTGTTATGTCTTTCCTACAAGTTTAATTTGTGTCCAGAAAAAAAGTATTTCAGGGTGAAAAAAATGGTAGAGGCTGATTGGAATGAGCCCAAAGAAGAGGTGGATTGGGCAGCATGGTGCGTAAAGCAGTAGGGATGGAGAAGTGGAAGTCCAACCTCTGGACTTCTTCCCTAGTGGGGAGTCCAGTGGATCTAGGACTTGTACAGACTTCCTGGTGCCTCTCCTATTTCCCTGAAGGGTGTGGCTGGGCACCATGAGAAGGCCAAGCATCTTTAAAGAGGCCATTGTCCATGCTAGGAAGCTGGGAACACTAGAAGAGAAGGCTCTGCTTGCCAGATTCTGTGACCTGGGGGGGGGGGGGGGCAGAGTGGGGAATTTTCAGACTGAGAATGTTTTTATCCTAGCTACTTGGGAAGTAGTGATCGGAAGGATCAAGGTTTGAACGGCAGGAGTGGGGTGGGGTGGGGAGGAGAATCCACAAGATTCCATCTACAGCTTTCCAGGTCCTTCCTGGTACCCAGCTGGGATGAGGATCCATCCCAAGTGAGTTCAGCTAGGCACTGCTTTAGCAGTCATTGTTCAGAGAGGTGTTTGGTTCAGGATCTGCAGGCCTCTGGGAAGAGCACAGGAAAACGACCTATCCACTTTCCTTGGATGTAACTCCAAGTCAGTCAACTAAGGATACTCCAATACCTCATCTTTGGAGGAAAAAGGCTTGAAGGTCTTCCTGTCATTCAGTGAAAAACCAGCTGAAGCCTGAATCCACACTTAACCACACAGAGAGGTGGATACTGGAAATATGGATATTCAGCTGGCCCAGAACTACAATACTCCCAAACCCAGCTCCTCACATAGGAGGAGCCACTCTATCAACTATGGGCTGAGAAAGTGGAGCAGGGTGTCTCTTGAACTGGCCTTGCACCACAATTCTCCTATTTTCAGCCTCCTAAGTAACAAGAAATATAACTGTGAGCCACTGGTGCCCAGCTAAGTTTTTTCTCTCCGTGAGAATCCCCAGGCTGTTTCTGCTAGGACTAACACACCAGACAGGACTTCCCACAGTTCCTTGGGGGTGGATACTCCTGCTAAAGCTGTACCCCCAGCCTCTGGGTCTTAGTCCAAACTCACCTCTATTCCAGGGGTTAAAAAGCAATGTGAATTGTCCCAACGGGTATTGCTTCTTGCCTGCGACCTGTAGCAGGAGTGAGTAGTGGCCAATGATAGCATCCACAGGTGAGGTCACAGAAATGGTCCAGCACTGGGCATCTCTATCCTCTACCACTGCGCTCCACTGGTTTTTTTCCCCCAGAGAGGAGATGGAGAATGTGGCCTGTGTCCTGTTGATCTTAGAAGGCTGCTCTCCTGCAAGTGCACAGCAACGAATTAAGTCATTGGACTTAGTTTGCAGCTCAGACTAATAAAGTCAAGGTGTACTATATAGATGGAGAAGGTCAAAAATTGGTTTTGCAAAAAAACGAAAGAAGCTGGACTACAAACGAAGGATGGTGAACAATGCTGGGGTAGCAGAGGCTCCCGGTGTTCTCATGAACTTTCACAAACTCTTGTGAAAGCTTCCCGGTCTGTAAAATAAATAGCCATAATAAACTCATGCCCGTAATCCTAGCTACTCAGGAAGTGGAGATCAGGAAGATTATGATTCAGGACCAGCCTGGGTATGAACGTGAGACTTTATCACAATCAATGTAGTACGTATCTCCCATCCAAGCTACATGGGAAGCCTACAAAAAAGAATCATAGTCCAGGCCAGCCAGGATCTACACCTGAGACCCTATTTGAAAAAGAAAGAAGCCAAAAAGGACTAAGAGTAGAGATCAAGAGGTAGAGTGTGGGGCTGGGAAGGTGGCTCAGTGGTAGAGCGTTTGCCTTGCATGCCCGAGGCCCTGAGTTCTATTCCTCAGCACCACATAAGCAAAAAGAAAAAAGCTGGAGGTGGTGCTGTGGCTCAAGTGGTAGAGCGCTAGCCTTGAGCTGAAGAGCTGAGGGACAGCGCCCAGGCCCAGAGTTCAGGCCCCACGACCGGACCCAAAAAAAAAAAAAAAAGAGGTAGAGTGTTAAATGCTCATGTTCAAGGCCCAGATTTCCAACCTTAGTACCATAGAATCATAGTATAGCTGTCCCTTTGTATCTGTGAGGGATTGATTCCAGGGCCTTCTGCAGATACCAAAACCCAAAGATGCTTAAGTCCATTTTTATATAAAATCACATAAACTACATTCTCCCATATTCTTTAAATTATCTCTTTGTTGCTTACAGCATCTTAGGCAATTTGGTATAATTTTATGCTGTATGATTGAAGGAATAGCATCAAGAAACATGTCTACATTTGTTTTGTAAAAGCACTTTTTTTTTCTAGATATGTTCTACCCATGACTGGTTGAATCCAAGGATTTGGAACTCACAAACCATACTTGCTTCTTAGGAACAATGTAAGTACTACATGTAAAGTACTTGGTTTAATATGTGCTATGTAATACAGATTCAATAAATACTGCCAATTTTTATAGTTAGCCCTCCTTCAGGCTTCTAGATAGCCAATATTATATTTTCAGCCAAAACAAAGTTCTTAGGGGAAATGCCACAGAAGAACTTCTAAAACTTGTAAATTAGTATAAGGTACATACACACTGTATGTACTAGGTTTTGAACTCAGGACCTTGTGCTTACTAGTCAGGCACTCTTACACCGAGCCACATGTCCATGATTAGTCTTGCATTTTTCCAGGGCCTGCACCCAGAGTGTGATCCTCCTGTTTATGCTTCCTGCAGTAGCTGGGATGACAGATATGTCATCTACTACACCCAGCTTCTTGCACTGGAATACAACCTCACAACATTTTTGCCTGAATTGACCTGGAACCACAATATTCCAAGATTTCCTGAGTAGATGAGATTAACAGGCATCCTAAGTAACACTTACTAGGCATACGAGCCTAAAAGGTGGCTACAGCTTATGGAGGCCCAACTGCAATGTGAGCCATTTGTCCCTTGATTCCCTAAAATGATGCTGGAAAGAGACCCTCCCAGTTTTGTTGCCAGTGGGGTCTAGATCCCTCCCACTTACCAGTTTGTGCGACAAGGGCGACCTTCTTCAGGGTAGGCAAAAATGTGTGGACCGGGGCACGGAAGTGCACGGTGATGGTGAAAGGCTGCCCTCTCCGCACAGTCAGGTGCTGAGAGCTGATGGCCTTGGTATGGTGTTCCTCATTGTTCTTTGCTGCCTGGAAGTCACAGCTCTTGATACCCAGGGCTGTTGTAGACAAGAGAGAAATTATGGATACGAGGTAAATGTGACAACAGAAGCAGTGATTCTGGAGTCAGAGAGACCAGTGTTCAAGTGCTCAGCTCCATCTGCTCATTGGTGCTACTCCAGATGGAAGTTGTCTGAAGTAACTCAGCTTTCTTCTTAAAATAACCATCCCTTCTCGCAGAGTGGTGGGGATTAGGTACAGTGTATGTGTGATACCTTAGTGTCAGACGCACACGGTACCGTTGTTGCTGTGATAATAATAATTATAACTGTAATAATAATAATTATTATTAGAGACAGCAATGCATGTTTTCATACTTGGCCTCCTTTTCCGCTTCCAATTCCTAGCCATAAATAAAATGCAGAATCTTGCTCCTCCTATACCTTTTTCTTCTTAGAGGACAATCAGATAATTTCAAGATTATCTGTGGTTTTACATTGTTATATTGGTTTTATATCACTGAGTCTAATTCTCTCATCTTCTTAAGAAGATGACCTCAGGTGAGGCCAAGAGTTCACCTGAGCTCATCTGTGCTCTTTTACCTGAAGGCTTACCAAATGTACAGGACCATGCAGGCCAGAAAGACTCTACAGGATGGTGGCCTGAGAGTATCAGGGCACTTTATAGAGGGAGGAAAAAACAAGGGAATTTTTAAGAAATGCTCAGCAAACCTAAAGCAAGACACACACTGAAAAAAAAAACACAAAAATTTAGTTCCTTGTACAAGCAAAGGAGTTAGTTTTTATTCCTTGGTGGGAGAAAGTGTGTGGAATAGGGTCTGATCTACTGCAGCAAAGTCATCTGACCCTGATGGAAAAGTCTTTCTTTTTTTTTCGGGGGAGGGGGTCGGTCATGGGGCTTGAACTCTGGGCCTGGGCACTGTTCCTCAGCTCTTCAGCTGAAGGCTAGCGCTCTACCACTTGAGCCACAGCACCACTTCCAGCTTTTTCTGCTTATGTGGTGCTGAGAAATTGAACCCAGGGCCTCATGCATGTGAGGCAAGCACTCTACCACTAAGCCACATTCCTAGCCCCAATAGAAAAATCTTTTAGACTCCAATTCTTGTCTTGGCCAATTCAAAACTGGCTGCTTCAAATCTTCAGTTCCCAACCTTTCTAGCTTAGAGCTCAAGAACAGAGAGATGAATGAAGAGAGGAAGGAAGAGACCACCTTCTCAGTTCATTAGTGAGGGAGCTGAGAGACAGTAACAGTGATACAATATTAGGGAGAAAGCACTGGCGTTATTATGAATGTGCATATCTGGTCCAGGTGCTCATGGATGCCCCTGGGGCCCAGTGTCCCTCTCATCCACCAGGGCAAGCCATGGCAGTATACATCTAGCCTTAGCCAGGCTCAGATTTGTACATAGGGGTAGAGCAGCACACAGAAACCGGCAATGATTCTCCTCTCTTTGCACAAGGCTGGTCCTGGGGCCTAGGTTGGGCTGGTTGAGTTGGACTGGTCTGTGGAATGGTATTCAATGAATTGAGGCTTGGTGTATGGGATCCCCACTATGGCTACAGTGTTATAGCAAGAGGCACTCTTTAGAATTTGTTTTGACTACAGTTCTGTCTAGAAGGCTTCTGCTGCCTTTTTTTTTTTTTCACCTGGCAAGTGTCTGTCCATCTTCCAAAACTCAAAGGCACCTACCTCTAAAGCCATCACTGATTCCTCCATGCAGAGGCCCATCCTCTGAGCTCCGCTGAGCTCCCACAGTGCTCTGCTCCATTCTTCTTAGCACTGACTCCAGTTTATAGCTATCCCTTGCTTAGCCCTCTGTTCCCCATCTCATTGTGAGACACAGTGTTGACTGCAAGTCTGTATCCTCTGCTCAGTGATGCGTTGTACACAACAACTCCCCAATTGGAGTTTATTCCATATTCGATGAGAACACTGAGTCGGCCCCAAGGAGAGTTTCTCAGATGTGACATACAGGTCCTGTACCCGAGCCTGTTCTGACAGAGCCTTGCAGAGGCCTCTGAATTTCTGCATGCTCCTCTACCTCCTACTTCCCTTCTCTGCCATGGCACTTTGGGGCTATGACATCCTTGTGCTTTTTCTGGGCACCTGTGAGATGTATATCACAACCCAGTGATAAATCCCCAATAACCATCATCACCCTCCCACCGCCGGCTTTACACGTGGATCACCGTACAACCACCTCCCCCGTTAGTACTCCATAACCACACCTCTCCTTCCCCACCCTGCCCCCCACCTCCCCCCACTCGGTAGCCACACCAGTGTCACCTCCCCTCCTTAGTACCACCTCACTTCTCCCCGACTTCATAGGCATACCACCATCACTTCCACCACTATCTTACTTCCTTTAATTAAAACACACCGTCATGTCACCAGCAGTGGCAGTCCAGTAAGTCCTAGGAAGAACAGGGTTGGCTCACCTTGTCCCATGGCAGAAGGCTGCTCTAACCCACACGCACACAGAAAATGCCTGCCTTCAAGTCTATCTTCCGGAGCGAAAAATGATGGAGTGCTTCTGTTGGCATAAGAATCCGTAAATAGGGAAATTTCTCTCCACTCTTCTCGTGAGCTCTCTGATGGATCCCTTCTCTCTTGCTCCCTCTCAGCTGTTATCTCTTAGACCAGATGCTGGGAGCGTCTCCCTCCTGGTTTTTTTTTTTTTTAACATATCTCTTGTGCCAGGGGAGACCTAAGCCAGGACTATGAGACAGGTCTAAAGTGAAAGAGGTGGTGGGAAGATCTGTTGGCAGGAAAATCCTCGAAGAACTCTCTTATCCTCTTTCTTCAGTAACCTCAAGAGCCCCTTAGGGGTGGGACTGTAGAAAGAGTGACTTTACAAGCAGAGGCCCATACCCAAACTTTAAATTTCAGGCCTGAAACCTGTTGTGAGTTCCAAGTTGCTAGATGCTCATGGGCTGCTTTGATGATATACAGAGAGAGCCTGTGTGTCTGGAATCCATCTGTCTAGAAGAGATAAGGAAGTAGAGTTTATTGGTAAAAAAAAAAAAAAAGTGTTTTTAAAGTCCTTGAATGTAGATGGAGGATATAGAGAACAGCAGGAAATAGGTTGGGGGAAATAAGGTAGATATATCCAGGCACATTATATGTACAGATAAAAAGATTATAATGAAACTCATATAAAGTAAGTAAGGTTGAGGTTGAGGAAAGAAGAATAAGGAAGAGCAATACAGGGTTGAATACACTCTAAGGACAATATATACATACATGGAAAGTTTACAATGAAACCTCTAACCTCGTACAATTAAAATATACTAAAAAAAAAATACATTGGGCTGAAGGTATGGCTCCCAGGGTAGAGTGCCAGCCTAGCAAGTATAAGAGCTTGAATTCAAACCCAGTATATGAACAAAACAAAACAAAACATAGTCCTCTAAGCCCTGGCACTAAGATGACTAAATGGGCATGAGGCCAGCACTTCTAAGATGCCTCAGTCTGGGACACCCTTACCAGAAAAGGTTTGGAACTGTCTTGGGCCTCACCGTAGGGTCTTTTCAATTTCTGCTTGCTTAACCACTGAATGATGCAAGACACAGGATAGAACCTCATGTCTGGCCCTTCGGGGCCTTCCTGAGCTTTGGCCTGGGCATCTGAGGTTGAGTCACCGGAAGCTCCCTAGGGACCTCTGTCCTTATTGCAGATGCATGAAATAGGATGCCTGTAAAGGATACAGTACAGACCACAAAACCACACACAGGGATAGGATAGAGAGGTGATTTTGCTACTGTGTAGCTTTCAAAACTTTGAACTATTATCTTCTTAAAGAAATGTTATGTGAAAAATCAAAACTATTGCCTTCTCACCGAAAAAGAATTCTCATAAGAACTGGAGATACAAGCCTGGCACTGATAGCCATTGCCTGTAATCCTAGCTACTCAGGAGTCTGAGATCTAAGGATCGAAGTTTAAAGCCAGCCAAGGCAGGAAAGTCTGTGAGACTCTTATCTCCAATAAACCACTAGAAAACCGGAAGTGGCACTGTGACTTAAGCAGTAGAGTGCTCGCCTTGAGCTGAAGAGCGCAGGGACAGCACCCAGGACACAGTTCAAGACCCATCCATGACTGACAAAAGAAAAAGAAAAAAGAAAAGAAAAAGTCAGAAGTGGTGCTGTGGCTCAAGTAGTCAATAACCAATTAGAAAATGAAAGCAGAGGGCTGGGAAGGTGGCTCAGTGGTAGAGTGCTTGCCTTGCATGCATGAGGTCCTGGGTTCAATTCCTCAGCACCACATAAGCAGAAAAAGCTGGACGTGGTGCTGTGGCTCAAGTGGTAGAGCACTAGTGCCCAGAGTTCAGGCCCCACGACCGACACAAAAAAAGAAAAGAAAAAAGAAAATGAAAGCAGAAGTAGGCGCCAGTGTCTCACTCTTGTAATCCTAGTTACTCAGGAGGCTGAGATCTGAGGATCGAGGTTCAAAGCCAGACTGGGCGGGAAAGTCCATGAGACGCTTACCTCCAATTAATCAACAACAAGCCAGAAGAGGAGCTGTGGCTCAAGTGGTAGAGCAAAAAACTCAAGGACAGTGCCCAGGCATTGAATTAAAGCCTCAGAATTGACACAAACAACACCAAAACAACAACTATATATGCATATATATGCAAAGCCTACAAGCAATAAATATATTGATAAATTGTGATGGTAATTAATAAATTGAAAGTTAAAAGGTAATTAATAAATTGAATAAAATCACAAGGAATTCATTTCTGTAATGTAAAAGTTGTTGAACTGAAGGTATAGCTCAAGTGATACAGGATTTGCCTAGAAGGCACTAAGTTCAAACGCCAACATTGCCAAAATAAAAGTTGCCTACAAATCAATTTTTAAGAAGAACAAAACAATAGAAAAATGGATAAAGGATATGCTAGACAATTCATACAAAATGAAATATAAATCTCTTATATTTATGAAAAGATGTCCAGTCTCACTTCATAAAAATGCAAAATAAAACTACCCTAAGATAGAATGTTTGCCAATTAGATTGCCAAAGATAAAAATCCGAGTATTCAAGAGAATCCTGATTCTGTTGCAGTGCTGCAGGGAGTATAAAAGGAGGTAGCTTTTTCAGAAGATATTATTCATCAGCCTGGGATGCCACGTAAAATCCCATAGATCCCTCATGTTCAGAATAACAGGCATTACCTCACCCTTCTGGTGGCTTGGAGTCTGAAATCAGGATGATCTCACACTGGACCAGCTCCCTAACTCTGCAGAAAAGCAGCCCCCCAGCTAGCGTGCATCTGAGAAGAATTTACTTCTTCATTTGTGAAATTAATGTATATTGAGCATTATTGGATACCAGGAATGTATAAGGCACTGACAGTACACTAGTAAATTAAATAGATGTGTCTCTGTCACCATTTATATTCCAGCAGGGGGCGACAGATGGTACACACACAGCTGTCATTGTGAAAAGTCCTATAAAAGAGTTCTGAGCTCTCAGACCTAGAAGTAGAGGTCAGGGTAGGCTTTGCAAGAAAGTGATATTTAAACTGAGAAACAGCAACCATCAAGGGAAGTTAGCTAGATAATGGGCATGGGATGGGGTAGTAGGAGAGAAACTAAATAGTATGTACAAAGCTTTAAAATAGGGAGCAATTCAAAGAACAAGTGCAAGAAAGGCAAGAGTTAAATCTTTCAGAGTTGAGGATTTGGGTTTTATTTTGAGGAGTAGTGGAAAGCTACTGAAGGATATTTTAAGCAAGTAGCAATACAGTCGGGTTTGCATTAAAAAAAAATACTGTATTGGCTAAAATAGAGAAAGTGTTTGAGAAGATGGAAGGAAGAAAAGGGCTGACCAATAAGAGATTACACTTCACGGTTCAGGTGGAAGAGGATATAGATGGATCTGAAAAGAAAAGTAATGGACCAATGTGCTCATGGACAGGATGGGAAAGACCAGGCCATATTCAGTCTGACTCACAGATCCAATTACATTAATGATGCTGGTACTTGCTTTACAAAGTGCTTTCCCATACCTTATCGTTTCAGATCTGAGCCTCAACTTTTTGTCAACTTGGTAAGTGATAATCATTATTTCTCTTTTGTTGGTGAGAAAACAGGTTCAGGGTGTAAACATTTATTTTAATGAGTGAATCCATGAATACATCAATTACTATACTGCTCAAGAGGAATTATAATGAAACATGCCAGGGCAGAAGAGTATTAAAATGAAGCAAATGTTGAAATAATAGGGATAGAACCCAGTCACAGTCAAGGACGACTAGACTGATTGGCTCATCTATACCCATACTATACCCTGGGTTACTCAAATATTGCTTTCCACCACTTATATATTTTTCATTTCCAAATGCCTACACTTGAGTAGGCACTGCTTGTGTGTGTTTGTGTGTGTGTCTCAGGGCTTTGTACTTGCTAGACAGATACTCCAACAACTGAACCACCTCCAGCCTTTGTACTTTAGTGATTTTTCAGATTGAGTCTCACACTTTTGTCCAGGCCAGCCTCAGATGACCATTTTCCTCCCCCACCTCCCACGGAGCCGTATGACAGGCAGGCACTACTACACTCAGCTCTCTTCACTTGTATCCTGAATGTCTACCTAAATCAGGTCCTAGTCCCTAGAAGAAACTTGGCAAGTAGTTAAGTGAGTTAATGAATATGGTGTTAAATTCAGGACTCTCCTAAGAGTCTGAGGGTGTGGTAGTTGAAATCCTCCAAGTAGTTCAGATGTCATTGTCTCGGTAAGGCATTACTTCTTCATAATGCTTTCCTTAAATGATTTCTTATGACTGACACGTCATAATTATAAGATGGCAATAATTGCGGGTTCCGTGCCACCAAGTCCTTAGCCCACTTGCTAACAAGACAGTCACTCTACAATGTAATTCCCACCACACCCCTACTCTCCCTCTAATTAACTACATTGACCCTTTTGTTTACATATAATGAAGTCTTTAGCTCCTTCATTTAATGTATGTACATTTAATAGAACAGCTGTCTCAGTCACGTAGCCAGTGCCTGCAAGGCAGGTACATCATGCCTTTCTTTTTGTGCAGTGCCTTGAGAAAGCAGGTATGTCAGAGAGGAGGACCTGATTGGGGTTGCTTTATGTTTAGTAGCACCCAGAAAGGGTAGGGTTTGAATGGCCATCATCATAAGCTACAGCCAATAGAAAACTTGGAGTGTTTTGTTCTCTACCAAAAATCTACCTCTTGGGGCTGGGAAGGTGGCTCAGTGGTAGAGCGCTTGCCTTGCATGCATGAGGCCCTGGGTTCGATTCCCAAACACCACATAAGCAAAAAGAAAAAAAGCCGGAAGTGGTGCTGTGGCTCAAGTGGTAGAGTGCTAGCCTTGAGCTGAAGAGCTGAGGGACAGCGCCCAGGCCCAGAGTTCAGGCCCATGACCGGACTCCCCCCCCCCAAAAAAAAAAAAAGTAGAGTGCTAGGCTTGACCTGAAGAGTTGAGGGACAGCACCTAGGCCCAGAGTTCAAGCCTCATGACCGACAAAAAATAAAATAAAAAAGAAGATGCAGCCAGGCGCTGGTGTGGCTCACGCCTGTAATCCTAGCTACTCAGGAGGCTGAGATCTGAGGATCGAGGTTCAAAGCCAGCCTGGGCAGGAAAGTCTGTGAAACTCTTATCTCTAATAAACCACCAGAAAACCAGAAGTGGTGCTGTAGCTCAAGTGGTAGAGCGCTAGCCTTGAGCTGAAGAGCACAGGGATTGCGCTCAGGCCCAGAGTTAAGCCCCACGACCGACAAAAAAAAAAAAAAAAGAAGATGCTGGGATTTTAAGGACTGAGGGACCTCTTAAAGTCATATGGGAAGGGATTCAAGGGATGGCCAGGGTGAGAGATTTCCTAGTTTTTTTTTTTCAAAACACAAAGATGATAAGTGTTACAGAGAGACATGTACTGAGTTTGCTTTTCTATCTAAAGCATAACTGATAGGCCACATGTTGACATATATTTATTTACTGTGTGGGTCCTGGGCGCTGTCCCTGAGCTTTTGTGCTCAAGACTAGCACTCTACCACTTAGTTATAGCTCCACTTCTGACCTTTTGGAAGTTCATTGGAGATAAGAGTCTCACAACTTTTTTTCCCCCTCAACTGACTTCAAACCATGATCCTCACATCTCAGCCTCCTGAGTAGCTAGGATTACAGGCATGAGCCATCAGTCCCAGCTGATATGTTTATTGTTTATCTTTCCTGCCTCCACAAGAATGTCAGCTCTAAGATGGAGGAGACTTGGTTTTGTTTGACTGTCTAGGCTCCTACACTCCTCAGGAGTGCCTAGGATATACTACACACTTAATAAATACTTCTTGAGTAGGTGAATGGGCTCACGTATTGAAACAGTAGGACACTCCTACCAACCAGAGAACCTTTGTGGGGAAGGTGATGCTTATAAGTGTGAAGGCAAAGAAAGCAGGATTGAGGTTTATTGACAATAGGAAACTAGACAGGTCTAGACAATAACTAAACAATAAAACAGCTATGAGATGGTTCTTTGCTTGATGTTTGAGGGGCCCAATTCCAAATAGTACCCTCCAGACTCTGTGCTAAATCACACTTCTGTATGGGTGCCATGGAATCCCTGGGTCCTGAAGAAGAAAGTTCATGCAAGCTGTGCAAATGACCCAAGGAGCTGTCCATCCACAGAATCTCTTTTGTTGCTGATATCAGAGTCTGGTGGAATCTTTGGTATTGGGAGAAAAAGCACAGCTTGCATTTGAATTTGATCGTTTTCCTGAAGTTTAAAATCCACACATGCATCTCATTGTCCAAATCTTTATAACCCAAAATCCACATAGACATTCTTGTAACCTTTGATGTCCTTAAACTTGTTGCTACTCAGATTAGCTTGGATCTGTCTTTGGCCACTCTTGAAGGGGATAGTCTTCAGAGTGATGGTGGCTTTGTGGTGGGGTTTGAGGTCTCCAATGCTGTGGCAGAGAATGGGGAAAGTCAGAGAGCCCCAGAGACACAATGATGACCTCCAAAGCCCCTTTTCCACTCCACTTCCTGTTCGGTCTGTTCACCCAGGTCCTGAGCCTCTGTCCAGAAAGGACAGTGCTAATCCCAGAATGGAATGGGAGAGGAGGCCATGCCCTTCCATCACTTACAGGATTCTCAGTTGCTTCTTAAAGAAGCCACTGCCTTCCAAGGTCAGCACACAGTCCTCAACTGGCTCCGAGAGGGGGTTTGAAAATATCACCTGGATGGAGAGCAGCTGGTTTACAATGGCTTGTCCTAGAACCTAAACAGACACCCAGGGCAGGAGAAGGAGCAGGAAATTAGTCCTTATTCTCTAATCCACTGGCTATTACATATGGTGCTTTTTTTTAGTATAAAGGATTTATTGGTATATATTATTCAATATTATACGTTAAGAGATTTTAGCATGACACTTCCATACGTAAAAATATTATTAACATCTCCTACTAGGGTTTGAATTTAGGCCCTCATACTTGCGAAGCAGACACTTTACTACTGAGCCATGCCGCTGCCATTTTTTTGTCAGTCGTGGGACTTGAGTTCTGGGTCTGGGCTCTGTCCCTCAGCTCTTCAGCTCAAGGCTAGCACTCTACCACTTGAGCCACAGTGCCACTTCCAATTTTCTGGTGGTTTATTGGAGATGAGAGTCTCATGGTCTTTCCTGCCCAGGCTGGCTTTGAACTGTGATCCTTGTTAGGATAGGGTCTTTCTCTCTGTCTTGGTGCATATCTGGGCATAATTTGCCTGTTAGGTTTTTCATCATAGCTAAGATAACATGCATAACAAACTGAGCATGCAACCATGCTTAGCTTCTTCCATTAAGATGGGGGTCTCAGGTCTCATGAACTTTTCTGCTGAGGCTATCCTTGACCAAAATCCTCCCAATCTCAGCTTCCCAAGTAACTCAGATTACACTGGCTTCTGTCTCTCTATCATTCTTTTTTGTTTTGTTTTTATCGGTCATAGGACCTGAACTCTGGGCCTGGGCACTGTCCCTCAGCTCTTCAGTTCAAGGCTAGCGCTCTACCACTTGAGTCATAGCACCACTTCCGTCTTTTTCTGCTTATGTGGTGCTGAGGAATCGAACCCAGGGCCTCATGCATGCAAGGCAAGCACTCTACCGCTGAGCCACCTTCCCAGCTCTCTCTAGCATTCTTTTTTTTGGGTCAGTCATGGAGATTGAACTCTGGGCCTGGGCGCTGTCCTTGAGCTCTTCAGCTCAAGATAAGCACTCTACCACTTGAACCACAGCGCCACTTTCAATTTTCTGGTGGTTAATTGGAGATAAGGATCTCATGGAGAATTTCCTGCCCAGGCTGGCTTTGAACCACGATCCTCAGATCTTAGCCTCCTGTGTAGCTAGGTTTACAGGCGAGAGCCACCAGTGCCCGGCTTGTTCTCTATCATTCTTATCCCCGACTGCTTACCTTTCCCATTTCTTTTTTAACTTCTTGCGTGTCTTTGGTTGTTTTGTTTCCATAATTGAGAGAAAGCATACAGTACCCTATGGGCTCACTTTGGTGAAGTCTAGCAGGCAGGTTGGCATTGGGGAGACAGAACTGAAAGGATCCCTGAATGCCTTCCCACTCTGAGTGCCACGGAAGGTCAGCAGGAGGGGTGCTCAGAGGTCATCTACTCTCATCCCCTCTTTTGACATTTCAAGGAGCAGAGACTGGGGGGGTGGGGGGGAGGAGGCTTGCTCAAGTATGTGCAGGCTGAAAGTGGCAACTCAAATCTTATGGGCTCCTCATCTGATCCCCTCCTGTCTGGCCTGTTTTTTAGCATGTAGACCCTGGGAAGGCCAACACAGAAAATGGCACAACAGAGGTTGAATCCATGTCCCATGCTCAAGACCCACCTAGCCTCAAGAGAATGAAGATTACTCAATAGGAGAGAAAAGGAGAGCGTGTTCTCTCCAGCAGACCACAGCCATCCTGTCAGAGGGCTTCACCCTCATAGCCAGGGCCAAGGTACCCACAGAGCATTTGCAGGGCTCTTGCCTACATTAATTATGATGCCTGGAAAGGTTAAGGTGATGATCTTGTTCACCAGGATTTTCTCTGGACTGCTCTTCTCTTCACCCAGGGCACTGATGCGGATTAGCTTGTCTGTTGACAGGTACTGGCTGTACTGGGAATAAGGGATTTTGCAGGGGTAGGTCTTCGCTAGGGAGAAAACACAGGATAAAGTGAAAGTAGCTGGACTTGGGAGTGAACACAGGATAAAGTGAAAATTAGCTGGATTTGGAGTTGAACCTGGTGGTTCTTCTGTAGAAAGAAGGGAGCCAACATGTTCCAGGTCCTGCTGAAGCACAAGCATTTGAAATGGAAAAACTATAGTTAATCTGCTTGTAAATGGATAGGCTGAGTGCCCAGCCAAGGTAGATGGCTTTAGACTTAGACTTTCCCCCACTAAACTAGCGTTGTTTTTTTTTTTCCCTTGGAGATAGCAAAGAAGGACAGAGGGAAAAAGAAGAAGAGAGGAGGAGAGAAAGAAGATAAGGAAGAGGGGAGGAGAAGAAGGAAACCATTCCCTGCTGTCTGGCTCCACCTCCCTCCCCCAACATATGCCATGACATAACCGGGTGTGCACCCAGTGTGTCCCAGGCCCGTATTCAGAGTCCATACCTTCTTCAGGAAACAGTGTGATGAAGGCTGTGTCCTGCCAGAATGGGCACAGGGGGCTGCCATCATGCAGAAGGGACTGGGCACTCAAGTTCACTTTGAGGTCCTTAAACTGGGGTGACATGTTGAGGGCCAGCAGGGCAAAGTTGATGTCCTGGCCCATGTTAGGCGGGTCAAGTAGCTTGAATTTCAGGGAGACCTGAATAACACTGCTTGGTTGAAGGGCCGGTGTATCCAGGCTCCGAGGAGTGTCCTGGCTTGGTGGCATGCGCCTCGAGGATGCTGAAGATGCACTGTCAGATCCTTGGGACCTTCCATCCTTCAGCTTCTGTAGAGCCTTATAATACACCTGCCTTTCTTGGGGGGAACCTACGAAGGTAGCACACATTATCAACTGTGGATGAGGCACACCTAAGGGACAAACATCCAACCCTCAGCACCACTACCAACAGTGCAGGGGCTGGGGAGTTTTCAAACTTCATTTCAAGCTGGGTGCCAGTGGCTCCCACCTGTAATCCTAGCTACTCAGGAGGGTGAGATCTGAAGATCATGGTTTGAAGCCAGCCTGGGCAAGAAAGCCCGGGAGGCTCTTTATCTCAAGTGGTAGAGTGCTAGCCTTGAGCAAAGTAGCTCAGGGGCAGCACTTAGGCCCTGAGTTCAAACCCCAGGACCAGTGCCAAAAAAAAGAAAATCAACTTTATTTCAGCAGTGTTTTCCCTCATTCATCTACTATTTCCTAAGACTCTGCATAAGTACTTAACACCTTTCATCTTGTCAGCCATTCAAGAGGTATATTGTTGTTGTTGTTATTTTTATAGACGAGGAAAAGGAGGTTCCAAATGGTCATGGTACTTGCCGGAATCATACAACTAGTGAGAAGCAAGATCCACTGTCTGACTCTTAAGAACCCATGCTCACGACCACTCAACTCAGTCCTAACATCCTCAAGGAAAAGAAGAAGGCCCACAAATGTAGAGATAAACTTCTCTTACAGCTGGCCAATTTGGTGAAGCAGAATAGTGGCCTTGCCCCAGAGATCCTGAACAGCATTCATGTACCAACTACCTTCACAAAAGCCTAGAAAATCAAGTAAGAGACCACTATGCCTGTTTTTAGTCTAATAAAAGGCAGGAGGGAAACAGTTGCCTGCTTGGAGCTTCCTGCAGAGGGCATTAACTTAGGAGTAAGGCCTTAGTCCTACCTGGTGGTGTGCTAGTCTTGGTGGATGGTGAACTCAGGCTGTGACACACTGGTGGCCACATAGGACTCTGGGGCTGGTCTATCCATGGTGACTCTTCCCAAAACTGGACAAAGTCCTGACCATAGGCTGATCACTATAGATGAGGTATCTGTGATTTCTCTGGCCTCAAACAGAGGTGTGTGGGGACAGACTATTCTTTCCAGGTACTCTCTGGATTTCTTTCTGATTCTTTGCCAACATACCCACAATGTATTTGGGACACACATAGGCTGGGAGTGTCTTTAAGCACTGAAACAGTGACAACTTAGCAAAAGCAAACAGCCAGAAAAATCTGTGTTTGGGTACCATCTAGTGATGAAATACTGGAAATGACTATAGATTCAGAGAAAAGAAGCAGCCTGTTGCTTAGAATTTCTGGATTAGCAGGCACAAACTTAGCCAGATTGGCACCACTGGAAGAAACACCTAATCTCTCAATACCAGCTGATATTGTATACCAATATTGTACAGGAAACCATGACCTTACCTAATAAAGTGACAGAAATAAACTAGATAGTAATCAGTGCAGGAGAACTCTCAGAGAGCTTGAAGAAAACACTTTGAGAAACTTAACAAAAAGATAAAAACAGTTTAAAGCCAGGCATGGTGGCTCCCACCTGTAATCCTAACTACTCAGGAGGCTGAGATCTGAGAACTGCAGTTCAAAGCCAGCCCGGGCAAGAAAGTCCGAGAGACTCTTGTCTCCAATTTAACCACTCAGAAAATGGGAAGTGGCGCTGCAGCTCAAGTGGTAGAGCCCTTTCCTTGAGCTGAAGAGCTCAGGGACAGAGCCCAGGCCCAGAGTTCAAGCCCTACAACCGATAAAACGAACACTTTCAATAATCAAATGAATTCTTGAGCAAAAGATGCATTCAGCAAAATTAAAAATTAAAGATGGTAGCTATAGCTGCTTCTATCACCTCTTCCAAGGGCACAGAGAGGCGTGAGTCAGATTCAGCCTGTCTATGTCTGCTCCACCCCAGATCCTGGAAGACTAGGTAAGAGGAGATGGATGACTAGGCCCACTGAGCCATGTCTTGGGTACTCAGCCCTGGATATGCCACCATTTCCCAGGTTCACAGGGGACCTGTGGACCTCTGTACTAAATGCTGCCAGTGGCTATTCCTACCTCCTTAGCATTTGACATTTCAATGTCCATGCTCCTACTTTAGCATTCCAGCCCATGTGATTCTGTCTGGCACTTTAAAGACTTGGCCTATCCATGGCGGAGACCAGAAATGCCAGGAGTATTATGCCTCCAAGGAGCAGAGCTCCACTCAACTCCCTTGTCTCTTGAGGGGCAATAAATTTTCCATATTGTTCTTTATATCACATTGAATCAATGATCAGGTGGATAAATTTAGTAAGTAAAAATACTGAACCATAATGAATGTAAAAGGGGGAATTCTTAGGCTGGGGAACCAGTACAAAAGGGATAGAGAAGGAGAAGGCAATGGCAGGGAGAATATAATTGAAGTACATTGTATGCAAATATGAAAATGTCATAATAACCCTCCCCCTTTTTTGTTGGTTGTAGGGCTTGAACTCAGGGCCTAGGCACTGTCCCTGAGCTCTTCAGCTCAAGGCTAACACTCTACCACTTTGAGTCACAAGGCTACTTCTGTTTTTCTGGTGACTAATTGGAGATAAGAGTCTCATGGACTTTCTTGCCCAGACTGGCTTTGAACCGCAGTCCTCAGATCTCAGACTCTTGAGTAGCTAGGATCACAGGCATGAGCCACCAGCACCCTACTAGGTTTTGCTGTTGTTGTTTGCACCCAGCTAGTTTCTTGTTTTTGCTTTTGTTTTTCGGAAACCCATTGTAAGCCCTGAAAAATGTGGAGGAGGAAGGACATTATAAGCGGGAGTAAGGGAGGAGGTGGATATGATCAAATTATATTATATGCATGTATAAAAATATCACAATGAAGGCAGGCACCAGTGGCTCATGCTTGTAATTCTAGCTATTCAGGAGGCTAAGATCTGAGGGTCATGGTTCAAAGCCAGCCCGGGCAGGAAAGTCAGTGAGACTCTTATCTCCAATAAACCACTCAGAAAACTGGAAGTGGCACTATGGCTCAAGTGGTAGACCGCTTGCATTGATCTGAAGAGCTGAGGGACAGTGCCCAGGTCTAGAGTTCAAGCCCCACAACTGACAAAAAAAAAATCACAATGAAATCCTTTAATACAATTAACATAGGCCAATAGAAATAGAGTTGTTTAATTTTAGTGTCAGATAAACAACCAATAATTTGAGACAGAATCATGCTAAGGTATTATTCATCCTTCTGACCTCCTGCTATTCCAGCTGTTCATGGTGCCAGTGGGCTTGATAAGCCACTCTACACTGACTTTCTCTGTCTCACTTCCTTACCCTCCTGCCAGTTTTTCCTGGAATGCCTCACAAATAAACTACTTGTTTATGAGTCCCTGACTAAGGATCTGTGTCCAAGACAACCCATCCAATGAAACAAAGAGTCAATAGGGACTGGAGGGGTGGTCATGCTACTAGGAAGTTAATCCAACAGTCAGGCCTTGATAACCATGGGGATGATGGTTCTAGAACCTCCAAGGATACCAATACCAAAATCCAAAGTCCTTGGCATGAAATGCTGTAGTAGTTACATACTATCTATGCCATCCTCCTTTGGGCTGTAAATCATCTCTGTATTACTTCTCATATCTAATATATTGTAAATGCTACACAGATAGTTGGGATACTGGATTGTTAAAGAAATAATGACAAGAAAGTTTGCACTTGTCATAATTTTCCCCCAAACATTTCCTATCTCAATGGATTAAGTCTAGACATATGGCTGACTATACTTGTATATCCCCTGCCCCCCCCCCCACTTTGAAGCTGGGGTTCTGGATCCTTTTTGTATCTATCACATTAATGAAGCACAGACACCCACCCAAGACTCCCAGCAAAAGCTCAGCTCCCCCCACCCTCTGCTTGCTCCTGCCTAGACCCTGTCCCTGCCAGACCTCAGCTTTGCTTCTTTACCCTGCATCTGGTTCTCATAGCTGGGAACTTTGCGTGGCTCCCTAGGAGTGGAACCTAGCAAGTGGTCGTTTTCCATTTCTAGAATTCATCTACACCAACTTAGCCTCCCTTCTGTCCTGGTTGGGCCCTTAGGATGTTTGTGGGAGTGAACACTGGGTTTTACCTTCCTCATACTTGTAGTTCTCTGTGATGTCATCCCGCTGATCACTCTGGATGCTCTTTGTGCTGATAAAATTACCAACAGTGGTCGTGTCCTGGTGAAGTTTCTGCTCTTTCCCACCCTGGACAAGCCAGGACATGCAGTCAGCATTCACCATAGAAAATGCAAAGCGCGTGTCATAGTTCAGATTCACTTCTCCTTCTTTGATGGCTCTGACAGAGGCAGGGCCACAGCAGTAGAGGCCTAAAGAAGAGAAGGAAGGAGAGCCTTGTGGGGAGGGTGTGGCAGGCCAGGCAGGGGCAAGGGTGGGGGGGAGCAGATTCTGTGGGAGTGGGTCATGACTTCCCTCTGGGCAGCCTCACCATTGCTGGTCTCCTGTGGTGTGGCATCTAGCACCTGCCAGCCTCCATATCCAGAAGGGAGGTCCTTGCGGTCCATCCAGCACTCATTCCAGACGTGGTAATTCCTGAGGGAGAAACCAGTGGCAAAGGATGTCCCACATAACTTCTTTCTAGAGCTAGATGAATGGGCAGGTGGACTGTTGGAAAAACTTGGTGCCTACAGCAGTGGAAGCCCCTGTGGATGAATAGTGACAGGTCTTCCTCCTGTGAGCCTCCATCTGCCTCCATTTGCATTCCTCTACTGTGGGTGAATAAAGGATTCTTCTTCACTCTCAGCCCACTGAGGTTATAATCCCTCACACTCCCTCAACAAGGTCCTTGTAGCCCATTTCCTGTGTGTGTGGCTGACCAACAGTGTTCGTCTGGAAGTAGGACTTGGGGCCCTCCTGTGGTCAGAACCATGGACTGAGTATTAGATGAAGATGGCAACCACGTGGAGGACCTCTCAGCCCAGGATTGAGAGCTCATGTGATCTGAAGATTCTAAACCCACAACTGTGATTTTGTTCAGCTGTTTTTCTGTCTTAGGGTGGGGATACCACTTCAACCCTGGGATTGAAAGAGAGGCAGGGAGATGGGACAGGGCAGCAGGCTATGGACACAATCCTGACCTACTTCCTACTGTGGGACCTGGCCGGGATGGATGGCCCCTAGAAATAGAAAGATTGTCTCTCACCAAACAGTATCCTTCTTCTTATTCTCCAGAATCCTGCCTGTGTTGTCGTAATACTCATCTATGATCAGGTTTCCATCCGTGTCATGGCCGGAGTCAAAGTTAGTGATCACGCGGGTGGGAATCCCCAGGCACCTCATCACTGCAGAAAAGGCAGCAAAATCACCCGTGGGCTGTGGATTCAAGGAGTTGGTGGTTTCAAGGACTCTGTGGATTCCTGGACTTCAGAGCGCTGGGTCTAGGGAAAGCATTTATCTAGCATCTGCTGGGCCAGGCAGGAGCTGTCTAACCTGACTCTGTGGTCAGGTTGCTGGCTGCTCTAACATGTTGGTCAGAGCCAACAGAAAGTCTAGCGAGTTGTCCTGTCTCCTACCCAAGCCAGCAAGTAGGCCAGCCACGCCACTCTGTTGGCAAATGTCAGAGGCCCAACTCAGCCTCTGGTAGCTCCTCGCCTTAAATCCCCATCTTCAAACCAACTAGCTGGAATTCTACTTTTTCCTGTTATTAGGATTCGGGGCTGAGACCATCAGCTTCTTGGGCGAAGGACCGTTTGGCTTTCCCATTCACCCTAGGTGTGTTATGTACATGCGGAAGCCTCAGCAGGAAAGC